GACGCTTGATGCACTATCGGTAAATAAATTTATAACCTCTTCGGATTCGGTATTCAATACAGATCTCGAAGAGCTGCATATGACACCACTGTGATGACAAGTGATTTGCAACGGAGCGGTCTCTCCTAGCTCTGACTTACCAGCCGGTCCACTAGGAAGGCATGACCTTTTTCACTCTACAGCAGTGTAGAGGGTGTCAAGCGTGATGGTTTAATCATCATCCTACTACTTCAACCAGTACACCGCCTGCTCTGTTCAGGCGCACACGCTTTTCCCTTAGCAAAGCAGATATTTCCTCCTGGGGCGAAGGCTCTGGGTCTCCCTCAGCATAGCGATCACTGCAGCCGGTGTGCGGCCACAGCAACACGGTGGGTGTACGCAGCGTGCATGGGATGGACTGCATGGTCTCAAAACCTGGTGCAGGTGTCTCAGTGAAGCACAGCTTCGTGATATCCCAGGCAGACAGGGAATTAATGCTGGGGTACAGACAGGCCAGAAGAAGGGGCAGAAGAGCTCTCCTGTAGCAGTGTGGGTCCACCCCAGGTCACTCAGACAACCAAGGCAGAGCCCCTTCCCAGGCTTCATGCTGTAGCATAAAGCAGAGCGTGGCCAGGACAGAAAAACTCTTCAGGACAGTCCAGAGCCTATCGTCTCAGCTTGGCAGCATGCAGGAAACATTCATCTCCTCTCCGATTTCAGCCCTGAAGAAGCTGGGTAAAAGGTCAAACACAAAACTTGCTTCTGAAATCAGATTAATCTATATAAAGGTTTTTGACTGGCAGGAAGATTTGTTAGACTGTGATGTGACGTCATGCACATGTCTAATAAGGGTTTTGACTGACAGGCCAACAATTATTAGATGTGTCTTTAGGGATAATTAAGTCTGTTGAACGACACTGTATTATTTGAAGAAAAAAGAGGTCACATTTTCAATTTTATCTTTCTTCTCCCACATGATATGGCATGAGACATAATGTTTCATTTATGATCTGGTAATCTATTTTCTAAGCTAGCTCCATCCACATTGTTTCCTCTGAGTTGGGATATGGTGGGTTGCAGGCCCTCGGCAACCGTCAGAGACAGCACACAAAAGAACTTCACCAGATACATTAAAAAAAAAAAAAAAGCCATAACTTGTCCTTTTTAAATACCAACTCTCAGCCACCTGCAATCAGTTGCGTACGAGGGGCAACTCCCAAAGAAGAGAACTGCAGCTGCATCCACTTATTTTGCCCTCGCAAGTAGATTCTCAGCTGATGTAAAATGACAGAGCCTATTGCAGTTAGTGGCATAATTTTGCTACAGCTGAGGACACGTGCTTGAGACTTTAAATTAGCCTTCAATGGAAAGCTATGTTTCTGTTAGCTGGTTGGCTAAATAAGGACATGTCTGTAAAACTGCAGATGTTGCAACAAGGCAGTTAAGAGGAAGATAGGAGGAGCGATTGCTCAGAGCATAGGTATTTGGGGGGAAGTTAGTGGAAAGTGTTCCTGTGATACATCTGCTTTAAATTCTGGGCTGTCCTCTCGAGTCCTGGTTGACTTCATGGGTTGCAGAGCAAATTGTCATAGTGTAGCTCTCAAATACCTATCTGTAAAGTCTGCCTTAAAACTCCATGTATCACTCTATCTCTAGTTGCACGGTAGTTGCACAAACCCAGAAAAATGCTATGTAGAAACACAGAATCAAGCTATGGCAGAAAAAAATGTAGGTAGGACATGTTGCAATGAGCAGAAAAGCAACTGAGACACCTGGAGCATTACTTGAGGTTGCATTTTGGAAGCTGGAAAATGGCAAGAAGCTGAAAATGCTGCAGAAAAGATGCAGGTTCCCCATCTCCAGCTGGGGACACCAAGTGGCATCAGCAAATAGGTCCTTGTGGCTGAGCAAAGAGTGGCTGGATGAGACACAGAGTTGGAGAGCTCCATACCATTAACCGTTAATGCCTTGGCCAGGTGAAACTAAAGCTCTTTTTACCCTTTCACTAAAGACCTAATTCTTCAGTTTTTACCCAGGGAATTTTTTTTTTTTGTAATTTTTGGTGCCCCAGGAATAATATTACGTGAAGGAGAATCATAGGCCTTTGAAAGACAGGTGTGGTCTCTGAAACGAAAATGCCCATTGGCACAACCAAAGTAAAGA